AGCAGCCACTAATTTCCGCCAATAGCAACTAACAGCCACTAATGGCCACTAATAGCCACTAATATCCACTAATAGCCACTAATAGACACTAATATCCACTACTAGCCACCATATATCCACTAATATCCACCATATATCCACTAATAGCCAGTAAAATAGCCACTAATAGCATACACTATACTAGCTTATGGCCACTAATAGGTTCAGAAAACACTTTTCGTGATTCACAAAAGGTTCCCTAGGAAATGCATATAAGGTTTAAGGTTTAGGGTCAGCGCATGGACTGGCAGAGTCAGAACACCAGCATCTAAAGACTCCTGTGCCGACGGTTCACGTAGCTCCTCTCCACCAACATCCATACCTCTACTAGCCAGTGGAACCAAGTGGGCGCTCGAAACCCAAAACCCGAAACCCTCAACAGAACTCTCAATCTTGCCCCGCTCGGTGCCTGACGCCGTTCTGTGCTGTGGAAGTGTGGCCTTGCGGCTCATCCCAGCACTGCCTGAGATGCTCAGAAGTTTGACGAGGAAAGGGTTCAGCGCTTAGGGTTTAGGGTTTAAGGTTTGCTCTGTTGGCCAAGTCACTCGGTCGTCAGCTGGATGGTGATGCGGGACGGATGCATAGCCCAATTGTCCAATGTGATGCGACCCTTTGTTCCGATCACCTAGCACCAGGGCACGAGCTGATGCTGTGCAGCTTCTTTGGGGTCCATGTAGTATGCGTGTACTATACATGCTGTTAATGACCGAAAATGAACTCTATGTGTATGTATGCATGTGTATCTATGTATGTATATATATATATATATGTGGGTGTACAAAAACTCAGCATGTACGTTGTATAAGTACGTATTCGTATCTATATAATATATATATATATATGTATTTTTATTTATTTACTTACTTATTCATTTTTATTTATTTGTTCATACATACATACATACATACATACATACAGACAGACAGACAGACAGACAGACAGACAGACATACTGAGTTACATACGTACATGCATACATACATGCATACATACACATATATATATATATATATGTGTGTGTATTTACATATACATATACATATACATATATATATATATATACATGTGTATATAATATACATATATATGTATACACATGTATGTATATACATATACATATACATGTACATTTGCATATGCATATACATATACACATACACGTACGGTACACATACACACATAAATACATACATACATACATACATACATACAGACAGACAGACAGACAGACAGACAGACAGACAGACAGACATGCAAATTGACAGACTGACAGACAGACAGACAGACAGACAGACAGGCAGGCAGGCAGGCAGGCAGGCAGGCAGGCAGGCAGGCAGACAGACAGACAGACATGCAAACTTACATGTGGGTGTGTACATATGTATAGATACATAATGTACATATGATTATATTTAGATTTATACTTCTTTATGTATTTGCTTACTGGTATGTATGTAGATATATGTATACTGTGCATGTATACATTATGGCTGTACAAAAGCTATGCATGGTTTAGGGTTTAGGGTTTAGGGGTTTAGGGTTTAGGGTTTAGGGCCCACCTCGCAGACTTCTGGCACCTCGCAGGCCCAGCTTGGGAAGGAGAGCACGGCGGCACCTGGCGGTTTAGGGTTTAGGGTTTAGGGTTTAGGGTGTAGGGTTTAGGCCCAGAGACTCTTAGATGCCCCTTAAGCAAGAAATATATGAAAGAGAGGTTTAGGGTTTAGGGTTTAGGGGTTCAGGGTTCAGGGCTTTAGGGCTTTAGGGTTTTGGGTTTTCCCCCAGAGAACCCAATACACATGATTAGGGAATATACCTTAAACTATAGGGGCCTTAATATTATGACTTAAGGTATATTCCTTACTTAAGGGGTATTGGGTTCTCTGGGTATGCATCTCGAACTCTGCCCTCCTCCTCGGACCTCGGCTGTCGTAGTGGATCACGGCCCCACCACCCGTGCTGCCAGTTCCCGCCGACACCACCGCCGTTGGCGCGGCGGTGCCGAAAAAGAGCGGGGCATACTGCACTGCGTAACAGATCTCGGGAAAGTCGGCCTGCGAGGCACAGTGCCATTGCTGGCGGCGGGATGCTGTTCTACCAATGGGGGTTTCCGAAAATAGGGGACCCTAATATAGTGCCCCAAATAATAGGACCCTTATTATAACCTAAACCCTACACCCTAAACCCTAAACCCCAAATAAGGTACCCCCCATAATTTAGGAAACGCCCAAAATGCAACATGCGGCCACGCCTGCACCATCCGCACTTCACCAATGGTTCCTCGGGTGTCGAAGATGCAGCCCGGCCCTACTTAGGGTTTAGGGTTTAGGGTTTAGGGTTTAGGGTTTAGGGTTTAGGGCTCTACCACCCCAAACAGCCCCAAAGAGGTGCATGGGAACCCTTGATTAAGGAAAAGACCTTAAAATTACAGCCGCCGAAGCTGTAGGATTCTTTATGACTTAGGAGCACTTAAGGAACAGTCCTTAAAGATTACAGCGGCCGTAGCACATCTGGCTATATGACTTAGGAGCATTGGGCTCTTTGGGACACTCTTTCTACGGTCGAAACCATGGGCCCTTAGTATGGGCACTCTTTACCCTGGGATCCTTATACACCTACTATATACCCTATATGTACCCTTAAGCGTCCCTAGAACGGCCTAAGGGTCCATATCAGGGGCCCATACTTCCAACCTTAGACTCTTTGCAGGTCCAGGGGCCGAGTTCGATGGCTGTGCGAGCATGTTCCACCGCTGGGAAGTAGCGCGTCCACATTCCTTGTTCGAGCGCTTGACGGAGGGAGAAACACCCAGAGAACCCAATACCCCTTAAATAAGGAAGAGACCTTAAATGATAGGGGCCTTAAGATTTGAGGTATATGCCTTAATTAAGGAGTATCGGGTTCTCTGGGTAATCCTCAACCCTAAACTCGAAAATGTCAAGGACAAAGCTCTCTGCAGCCAAGAGTCCTTCGATGAGCGCGACACCTTTGGCCTCAAGAAGCACCAACCCAGACCCCTTAATTAAGGAATTTACCTTAAATCATAATATTAAGGCCCCTATTAATTTAAGGTATACTTCTTATTTAAGGGGTATTGGGTTCTCTGGCCTACTCTAATTTATCAAAAGTGTAGCATATTCCTGCACAGTCCCCTACATCATTCAACTACGAGTTACCCTGAAGCCCTGTTCAGTTCTATTTATGAATGTATCAAGCTCATCACCCCAAACCCTAAACCCTTGAAACTTAGGGCACCTCGGCTGCGGCGTAGAGCTCTTCCGCATCCGCTGCAGTCGTGGCCAGAGGCTTCTCGCAAAGCACCTGAAGCTTTCCAGGCAGGTCCAGGCCCAGGTCATAGCATTATAGCAATAGGTTCTAGCTTCATCATGATAGTAGATCATAGCATACTAGGCATACTATAGTTGGTGTATATTAATCATAGTACGCATAAAATCGTACATTATAGTATATGAGGGTATATTACGGGAAATTGTGGCAAATTATGGTATATCACAGTATATTACAATATATTCAGGAAGCTATGGAGCCAGCCACGCAGGACAAATTGAAGCGTCCAGGAGTCAGAAGAGAAGCGAAGGGAGATCGGGAGAGAAGCAAAGAAGATCCCAGTCCATGGAATTTTTGCAGTAGCTTTATAGTACATGTGTGTAAACCATTGTACATAATCGAACTTTTTGCAAGTTATAGCAAACTATTGTACATAGTAAGTTTTCGCAAATTTTAGCATATTCTGCTACATTCTAGTACCCTCAACCCTAAACCCTAAACCCTAAGCTACATTCTAGTAGACAGGAAAGCCCTTAGGAGTTTCAGCTTCGCGGGTCTTTGATGTTCTGACAGACCTGGGCCGATGGGAGCTCTGGGATACTACAATATGCATTGCTACTGTGAATTCTGGGCATTTGCGAAAATTAGGGGTACCGTATTTTGGGGTCCTTATAATAAGGTTCCTACTATTCAGGGTACTATAGTAGGGTCCCCACCCTGACTACTTAGGGTATAAGCAACTATAACCCTAATTAAGGTAGTTATAAGCTTACTAAGTCCCATGAACCTCCAAGTACTCTGTAAACTCTAGCAATACAATAATATAGTTAACCCCCAAAGAGTTGGACACCGGATTAAGGCCAAATAGTGCTGGGTTTGGCTATACGATAGTATTAAGGACTGAGGCTATTGAGCTTCCAACTTTTGGGCTTCTACCTAAACCCTAAACCCTAAACCCTAAACCCTAAACCCTAAACCCTAAGCCGTTATCACTAGCGCAACCAGGTCTACCCTCGAGAAGGACGAGCCGCGTGCTTGCCAGCAGAAATCGCCATCAGCACCTGCTCCTGCACGGCTGGAGACTCTTTGAGGTTTAGGGTTTAGGGTTTAGGGTTTAGGGTTTAGCTCAGAATAGCATTGGGTAGTTCTCTAAATCACCCTTATAAACAGGACCCTAAGAGGAACCCTCACTTGGAGAACTCCCCCACTATGCCACGGAGATGCAACCCCTTGCCGCTAAGGTCGAAATCACACCATGCTCTGTCCAAAAGATTGCCACAGTGCGCTGGGCCTTGTGCAGAGGAGTGATTGTCCCAATGTACACGATGTCCACATCAGGAGAGTTCACAAGTGCTTGGTAGTCTGATGCCACCTGCTCCACACCATGGCTTGCGGCAAACCTCAGCAAAGCATGGGCCGCATGGGGGTTTCCCCAAACCCTAAACCCTAAGGGTCTAGGGCTT